TTATTATATGCGATATAATTTACTCTTTATACATTTTCTCGTTAAAGATGCTGCACGATTTGCGCTTGAGATTATATCTATAAAATTAATGAACTGATTGTTCATTTAATAATCATAATATATATCATCACATTTTTTAAAATATATGTCCTTAAAAATATTCTTCTATCATTTTTTTACACATTGTAAATTACGCCAACAAATTGGTCTACCATCTATAATCAAACTCACAGAAGTATGATAATCACTCGAAATGCTAAAATCAAACAGAGCTTCATAAATTATAATAGGCCAGTTATAAAGAAAAACACATATGCCTCTAGTAATCATAAATTTAATTTGAAGATTAGTATGACATTTCAAAGAAGAAAAATAACTCTTTTAAATCTAAAAAAGATATTTGTCTTTTATCCAAAGATCTCAAATCAAAGAAACATTACTCTCAGCATGAATATTGAAATTTACCAATTTTTAAAAATATAAGAACACTCCCTCAACATTTTTCAACCCTTAAAATAAGGATATGAGATGAGTTTTCATACAGAAAGATATATTTCTTTTCACTAGTAAGACAACAATCTATCATTCTGACTAAATACATTAATTTTTTTTTTGAAATTAGGAGCATAGCACAATTCGTTGATTAATAGTTCGAATACATAAAGATAAACAAGACTGAAATAGTACTATCAAACAATAATAGTAAACAAATAAAACTTTAAAATTAAAAATGTGAGAAATATAAAAAATTAAAAACTTAGAATAACATAAATACAAAATATGTTAGACTAAGAATGCAAAAGGTGCATAAGTAATCAAACTATAGGCCCCATTGTAGAAAGACTACCCCAAGTTACCAAAAAATGCCGTCCATGAAAGCCAGGTTGTCGAGTGGCCATTATTGAGAATAAATCATTTATGTCACCATTCATCATAATCTAACAAAAAAAGGCAAAGCAAATCAAAACCAGTATTAACTAGTCCAATCTAACCCTCTCAAAAACCAAGAATATACACCAATGTGATCAAATTTGAAAATTGTTATATACAAAAAAGAAGAATATGACTGTCGGCATCAGCAAAAATCAAGAAATACCAAACAAGAACACCATCATGTCTCCTTATTTAAATAGAAGATCTCAGCCCAACAAAAGCTGCACCAGCTGCTTATATTTCCAACCTTGGACAAAGCAGACAATCAGGGCCACATATAACTTTATCATGGTGATACAAAATCGTAACAGGGGTGATTCAAGTTTCACATTCCAACATTTAAAAGAATATCCATTCCGCTAGCACAAATAGCTTTCATTTGTATCCACAAAGTTAGAAGATGAACTTCAATAGTCACAGTTTTTCCTACAATTAGTAATTATACGTTGAAATGCAAAAATATAACAAATAAGTTAATATTCCAATCTCCAATAATTGTTTGCTTTCCCTAAAAATAATAGAATC